CAATTAAGAATATCGAAGATTTCTTTGACACCTGATAATTTTCTCGTTCAATTAATTTATGATAATTTTGAATTTTTGGGAAACGAGTAATAGGTAAAAGACTAGACATAGAAATATTAATATTTCTTGGGATTATTTGGTATATTTGAAAAGTCTAGAAATATATTATTTTTTTTTAATCCCAGTTGACAACTTTTATTGGAGTTGGATGAAAACCTTGATGAAGTTAACATCCACATCTTTTATTTATTTATTTAGTGCATTTTAACTATACATTATCTATATTTTTATCGGTAAATATACATTTTTAATTTGGATGTATAGTCATGTAATGAGTTATATAATCCATGTGGCTGATATTAACTTTTATTTTTTCTTCGTAGATAAAATATTAATGCCAAAACCCCAAAAAATTTCTTCCAAGAGTATACCGCCTCCACATCTTGTGTAATCACCAAAGCTTTCTCAATTTTTTATAACCGCTAGTAATTTTACATGATTCATGTTTTGTTCATATCTAAAGATCTCACAGTTGCTTGTGACCTTCAACAATTACAAAATAAACTATCAATTGAAATAACTGAAGTTAATATAGAGATTATACATTGATTATATATCTATAATTCTACGATAGGGCCCCAATATTCTGAAGCACTTTTCAGATGAAATTTCTTTACAATCAAGGAAGGTTGGAATATATATAAATTTTAAAAATTGAAATTGGAAGTTCTTTTGAGCCTTATTTATTTTTGGTTTTTGAAAGATATAGACTAGTAGTCAGCACTTTGAATGTCATGAGACCTAAAAGTCAAAATATTATAAAAAATAATTCTACAACTTCAGATTATTATTTTATTGTTTTAATATTTAAACCAAAATTAAAATTATTTTTCAACATATTTCATCACTAGCTATATTAATGTGATGATAAGATTTAAATTGTTAACAAAAGGCAAAAACTCACTAGTTATTTATATTAATTAAGATGAATCGTTATATTGAATTCTATTTTAAGATAAATATCTCGTAAAAAGAATACTATATTTGCGGTTGTAGCTATAATTGGTAGTATGTTAAATTTAGCAGGTAAAAGCGTTGGCTATATCTACAAAATTAGACTATTAGTATCCTAAAATCAAAATATCTTTTAAACATATTTATATATTATAGAGTAATTTTGGTATATATCAATAACAAATATCGAAGATTTCTTTGACACCTGTAAATTTTCAGGTTCAATTGAACTATGATAATTTTGAACTTTTGGGGGAAAACGAGTAATTGATAAAAGAACAGACATAGAAATGTCAATATGTCTTTGGGTTTTTAGCATATTTGAAAAGACTATTCAGAATTTATTTTTTTAAAAATCTTAGTTAACGACTTATATTGGAGCTGGATGGAAACTTTGACGGAGTTAACATCCACATATTTTATTTATTTATTTAGTGCATGTTACTATACATTATCTATTTTTGGTTTGATTAAAGATATATTTTAATTTGGATGTATAGACATATAATGAGTTATACCTCATGTATTCGACAATGTCGCGTGAACCAAGGAGCTTTTTCGAACTATGGAGGAGGGAAACGAGGGAGAGCCGCAAGACATACAACCACCTTTGTCGTCGTGTAATCATTGGAGAAAGAGCAGGTTGTTGTCGCAAGCCCACATTAGTAGAGGAGCTTCGATCGAAGCCACCTAAAATAGAGGAGAAGAAGGTTGTGGATAAAAAGAGACTGAGGAGAAAGAATCTCGGCCTATGTAAGAGAAAATAGAGAAGAGAGAAAGCAAACCAAGAAGATGAAAGAGGGTTTGTGATGACAAAACTGTGATGTCAAAACCAGCCCTAGAAATCAAATAGATAGGCATGTGAGACGGAGTTCAGCATGGCCACCCTAATATTTCTAACAAGTCATCTGAAAAGTTTCCTAACCTTAAGAACAATCTAACATAATCGGACAAATAAGAAGATTGGGAACACTGTAACACCCTGGTTTCATGATATATAATGGTGCACGTAGAGAGGTTTAAAAAATAGATTTGGCCACCTATGTCACCAAAGTGAACTTATCTGTTCGATCAAACGTCATAAAAAACTCCAAAGTTGAGCGCGTCTAAGCTCGATCAATTTCAGGATGGGTGACCTTCTGGGAAGTGATTGCCGATACCATGCGAGTGAGGACAAAACACGGAGAAATATCACGTGGTGATTTATAGGATCAGTCAACAAGTCTTTAAAGTCTTCTAAACATAACGGATCGGCTATTGGACACAGGTAGGCCCACTGGCCGAGAGAGGAAGTGGGACCCATTAAGGGTGGCAGTTGGGGCGTTACATGTGATATCAGAACCAAATCAAGACGAGTGTGGAGTCAAGAGAGCTCCCACCATCAGGGTTACGGTCTTGGTGTACAATGGGATGTTACGCTTTGTCAGTGGGGGTGAATGGTGACACCCAGTTTCAAGAAATATGGTTGTGCATGCAGAGATGTTTAAATCAATTAATTTGGTCACCTATGTCACCGAAGTGCACATATCTTTTTGGTCAAACGTCCTGAGAGAACTCCACAGTTAAGCATGATGGAGCTGGAGCAATTTCAAGAAGGGTGACATTCGGCCAAGTGATTGCCGAAGCTGTGCGAGTGAGGACAAAATATGAGAAAAATCACTTGGTGATTTGTATGATCGGTAACCAAGTCTTTAAAAATTTCCACACGTAACTAACAAGTCATCAGATACGGATGGGCCCACGGGCCGAAAGAGGAAGTAGGAACCATTAAGGTGAAGGTCGGAGTACAAACACCATATTCGCTTAAGTTGAGCAATCATAAAACTATATGCAATAGAGGTGTTGAATAAATAACTTAACAGTTGAACTCTTGCAATAAGGGTGTTGAAAAAAGAAAAAAAGCATACATGGATTCAACTCTGATGAAAGTATTCAACATGTTGAAAACAAAATATCTAGGACGACAAGTGACACATATTCTTTTTTTTATTGAATGTTGAAATTTTTAAGATTTTTATCCCACCCTAACTATTTAAGAACAAATATTATATAATTAAGAAATTTATTTTAAATGTTTTTAGATCAAAAAACAAAAAAGAAAAACTAAATTTTGGATTATGAAACATTCTATATATATATAATCTATTCATATATATATATATATATATATATATATATATATATATATAATTTTCTTAATTTCTACTATCTAAACTTAATACAATCTGAAAAATACAAAGTTGGAGTTTGAAAAAAAATTCCAAATATATTATTAGTTGATTCAATTGAAATTCAATATGTCACTTGTACATTGCTAAAAATACTTAGTAAAATTTTTATAAATAAATATTTATCGATTGACCCGTGGATCCTAATCTAGTATATACATCATAGGGATAATAATATTTATTCAGCCAAATCTTTTAATTGTTTGAAAAAAGTTAGGGATGAGCCTTTTAATCCAACCGAACCAACTTATCCAAACATAATGAGAATCCATGTAAAAACCGTTCAAGCTTGTCTTCAACCCAAACCAATAACTCTATCTGCTTTCTATAAAGGAAAAATGTCAAAAAAAAAAATCATCAACTTTAAAAATGGGAGGATGAAAAAAACATGAACTTTTGCTTAAACGTTTTAAAATCATAAAAAAATTTTCTTTCAAAAAAAAAAAAATCATAAAATTTTGTTGATTGTCCATTTAAATCAAAAACTTAATTTGACCGAGCCGTTATAAGCATGTCGTTAATGTCTAAACGGGGTTAACCATCTTCATAAACGACGTCGTGTGCTCTGATAAGAATATCCCCAAATCCAGATTTCTAGGGTTTTCTCGATTTCACTCTTGTTCTTCACTCTCCAATTCATTTTCTTATCCTCTCAATAGATTTATCTCTTCTTTTTCTTTATTGTTTCATATCTTCTTCTCCACAGCTTCTCTTCTCCTTCATCGATTGAATTGGGGAAAAAAACTCTTGCGTGGGCAGTAGTAGTTGCAATAGAGTTTGATGATAATTGGGATTGGTTTGTTTAGACTTGTCTCTGTAGATTTGGGTCTGGAGGATGGGAGAAATGTAGCAATCATTTCAGATTTGGGTTTAGTGAAAGCTATCCACAACATCCTTCCAGAATGTGAACACCGTCAGTGTTCTAAACACATAATGGAGAGACAGCTATGACTTAATGCTTGTCGACCAAGTAACTATGCTAGGAGTGAAGGAAGAAATGAAACAAGTTATCACGCATTCTTAGAGTCAAATCATGTTCAAACTACAAGCAAGAAGGGCACAACAAGGTATCTTGTACAAATTCGACATTTGAGAGTCAACCGAAAAGACCAAGGGGTCGACCTAGGAATGAACAGGTTTGTGTCCATCCATATCTCTCTCTCTGTAATTCAATGATGCTTAACATTTTATTTGAACCAGGAACCAAGGAATGTCTTGTTTGGACAAGGATCACAAGTACAAGGATCACATGGAGTTCCCAATGTCAACCATCTGGTTCTCAAGAAAGAGGATCACAGAGACAAGGACAAGGAAGAGGATCACAGAGAGAAGATGAAGGACAAGGATTACATGGTTTGGGATCATGGTTCGAATGTTCAAGCTAAATTGGCATTTTGTTCTATCAATATTTGAACAATTTGTGTTATGATTCTGTTATTTCAGTTGTTATTTGAATGTTTGAAAAACCAAGATTATAATTCCAACAACTTTCTTTTCTGTTCACTCACACAAGTACAGAACAACCAAACACAACCAGTATAGTGCCACCACTCCTAGACATCGTCTGCATAACTGCATGAAACAGTCTTTTACAAAAATATTTTATATGCTCTCCTGTATCTTTGACTCTATCATCCAAGCATGCCCATGTATCACGATATTCTGCTCAAAATAAAATGATATCAAATTTTGAAAGTGTTTCTCGATTTCCACCTTCGGCCACTTCGATTTTGTAAGAAAAGTTTCTTCGATTTCCACTTATTTCTGATTCACTTATTTTCGATTTCCACTGATTCATAGCCTCAAACAATAATAAAAATCTAACCTTTCCATTAAAATCGGCACTAATACATTGAATACTCTTTTTACCAGATCAAAACAAATACATTCACAATCCTAACAAGAAGATATCTGTTGACTTAACACTAAGACATCAAAGCAGAAACACTAAGAAGTAATTTCATGAAGATTTAAGACATAGATACTCTAGGCATTAAGACTAAGCCACCAAAACGCGGAAAACCAGGTACAAACATTGGTCTTAGCAGCGGAAACGGTGGTGGAGGTGGCGGTGGTGGTCCGTAGAAACTTGTCCTCATCACTTGGTTCATATGCTGCTTTTGCTTCAAACGATCTGATATAACTCTATACCCAAGTCCATAAACATAACCTTCAGATTCTTGCACATTGTTGCAGATTTTAGTCATTTTAGCAAAAACCCTAGCCGTTAATTCGCTATCCGAACCGGCGTGGTGTGCAGTACCAACACGGTTGAGTCCCAACTCATGAGCTAAACTCTCTAGACCAAATCTGCTACTAAGTCCTTCATATCGACCAGCCATGACTTTCAAATCGTAAACAGAACCGAGAATTCTCGCCACCGCTTTAGAAAACCTCTCAGAAGTAAAGGGTAAAGCTTCTCCGGTGAAACACTTGAGCAAATAAGCGATATCGTAATATCCATGAAACGTGACCCAAGTGATATTCCTCGTCTTCTTCAGAATCCAAAACATCTCCGAGAAAAAACCCTTGATTCCGATTCCTTCTTATCTAATCTTCCTCAGATCTAGACCGTTGCGTCTAAGGAACTCAATGGATTTCTCGTTTCTAGCATCGTCAACTCCGAAATCTGAGAAATTGATTTCCCAAGTACCTCCAATTCTTCCATTGATGTCGAACAGAGTAAGACCTAACTGGATCAGTTTTGTTCTGTCGACACTAAAGCTCATGTCGTTGTAACGTTCGTCGTCTGTTGCGTGTTGTGAAGTTTGTCTTAAAGAACCTGGAAACTCTGTGTCGATTGCAATGAAACGGTAGTTTCGTAGACAATCTTCGATTAAACTCATCTCTTTGTTTCGATTCCAACTCCAGATTTCACGACACTGTTTCTTTTTCATCTCTACCATCGTTTTTTCTTTTTGGTTCACGCAAGAGAGAGAGAGAGAAATTATCTGAGAAAAGGAAAATAATTGTGAAGGAGAGTCTTGGGACTCAAGCTTATTATATAGAGTCTTTGACCGCAAGAGTCTTGGATTTAATTTCATTAGTGATTTGGATTTTTGGAAAAAGGAAATTTTCCTGTTTTTTCGAAGTTCATTTGATATAATATTATCGTTAGGTAATTTCTGATAATTACACTTTTCAGATATTTAAAAAAATTTAAATACAAATTTCTCTTTACAAAACCTGATTAAATGAATCGAGGCAAGTTGGAACTTGTTTTCTTTTTATTTTTTAAATTGGAAATTTTGACAATTTTATTTATTTTTGGTTATTGAAAGATATAAAATTAGTCATCACTTTGATTGAATGTCATTAGACTTAAAAGTCAAAATATTATATAATAATGCTACAAATTCAGATTATTATTTTATTTGTTTAATATTTAAACCAAAATTAAACATATTTTTCAACATATTTCATCACAAGCTATATTAATGTGATGAGACTCAAAATGTTAAAAAGATAAAATTCAAAATTGAACTTTCTTTTCCATTTTTATTAATTAAAATTAATAGTTCTAGTGGAATCTATTTTAAGATAAATATCTCGCTATAAGGAATTCTTTATTTGTGATTGTCAGTAATTGCTAGTATGTTGAATTTAGGCGGTAAATGCATTGGCTGTATCTATAAAATTTAGACAATCAGTATCCTAAAATCGAAAGAAACTTTTAAACATAGTTATATCTTATGGATTAATTTTGGTATAGATCAATTAAGAATATCGAAGATTTCTTTGACACCTGAAAATTTTCTCGTTCAATTAATTTATGATAATTTTGAATTTTTGGGAAACGAGAAATAGGTAAAAGACTAGACATAGAAATATTAATATTTCTTTGGATTATTTGGTATATTTAAAAAGTCTAGAAAGATATGATTTTTTTTAATCCTAGTTGACAACTTTTATTGGAGTTGGATGAAAATCTTGACGAAGTTAACATCCACATATTTTATTTATTTATTTAGTGCATTTTTACTATACATTATCTATATTTTATCGGTAAATATACATTTTAATTTGGATGTATAGTCATGTAATGAGTTATATAATCCATGTGGCTGATATTAAGTTTTATTTTTTCTTCGTATGAAATTTCTTTACAATCAAGGAAGGTTGGAATATATATAAATTTTTAAAATTGAAATTGGAAGTTCTTTTGAGCCTTATTTATTTTTTGGTTTTTGAAAGATATAGACTAGTAGTCAGCACTTTGAATGTCATGAGACCTAAAAGTCAAAATATTATAAAAAATAATTCTACAACTTCAGATTATTATTTTATTGTTTTAATTTTTAAACCAAAATTAAACTTATTTTTCAAAATATTTCATCACTAGCTATATTAATGTGATGATAGGACTTAAATTGTTAACAAAAGGCAAAAACTAACTAGTTATTTATATTAATTAAGATGAATCGTTATATTGAATTCTATTTTAAGATAAATATCTCGTAAAAAGAATACTATATTTGCGGTTGTAGCTATAATTGGTAGTACAGTAAAACCTCTATAAATTAATAATGTTGGGATCATGATATTTTATTAATTTATAGTGATATTAATTTATGAGTCAATTAGCTGCATGCTAATTATTTGAGAAATAATTAGGTGTGGCATACACAAGTTTTTTTCTTTGCAAAACAAGAGAGAGAAATATTTGCTTTAAAAAAAACAAGACGAAAATACCCCTGAAATAAAATGCGGGAGTTTTCCCTCTGAGAATTTTGTAGGGGACATGGATATCATGCAATATTCGGTGGGCTCCCACTTATTTAATGCTCGCAGAGATAGTGTGTTGCAACCGTAGTGGACCACCACTTATTAAATGCATGTATCGATAATATATTCTGCTATGCAATTACGTATCGTGATATCTTGTTTTTTATCGGATACATGGATATATATCTTACATCGTAATATTTCAGTAATATTGTTTACATATGATATATCTCTATAGATATACAGTAAAACCTCTATAAATTAATAATGTTGGGATCATGATATTTTATTAATTTATAGTGATATTAATTTATGAGTCAATTAGCTGCATGCTAATTATTTGAGAAATAATTAGGTGTGGCATACACAAGTTTTTTTCTTTGCAAAACAAGAGAGAGAAATATTTGCTTTCAAAAAAACAAGACGAAAATACCCCTGAAATAAAATGCGGGAGTTTTCCCTCTGAGAATTTCGTAGGGGACATGGATATCATGCAATATTCGGTGGGCTTCCACTTATTTAATGCTCGCAGAGATAGTGTGTTGCGCAACCGTAGTGGACCACCACTTATTAAATGCATGTATCGATAATATATTCTGCTATGCAATTACGTATCGTGATATCTTGTTTTTTATCGGATACATGGATATATATCTTACATCGTAATATTTCAGTAATATTGTTTACATATGATATATCTCTATAGATATATCACTATATTTCCCGATATATCACTATATATCATGATATGATATGATATTTCACTATATATCATGATATAGCAATAGATTTCATGATATATATAGATATATCATGATATCTCAATATATAATATGCTATATGTTAAAATATCGTGATATATAAATATATATCATACATCGTAATATTCTATTAATATTGTTCACATATGATATATCACTATAGATATATCACTATATATCCTGATATATCACTATATATCATGATATAACAATATATTTCATGATATATCAATATATATCATAACATATATCATGATATCTCAATATATAATATGATAAATATTAAAATATCGTGCTATATAAATATATATCAAGGTTTATAAATATATCTCAAGAACTAGATTTGTTCTTAGCGTCGTCGGTTGACGGTGTCTCAAAATCATCTCTAACAAAAGCTCAATAATAACGAACGACACCACATTCGTGACGTCTTGGTATCGAGAGTTCTATGAGGTTCATGGTATGCATTTTGATCAGAAAAATCTAATCAATTTAATGAATTCAGAATATCATAATTCAGGATACAATCAATTTTAAGAAAATTAGAAAGAGTCATATGGAGTGGAGTGTTTCATAAAGTAAAGAAAAATAAATAAATAAAGAATTGAAGAGAGAGAAAGCGAAAGAAAAGAAGAAGGAAGAAGAAAGCAAATAAGAACAAATGATGCGTTTGATTTGAGAGATATTATTGTCTTTTCTCCATGTTTTCAAAAGACCCATTATTTACGAACGTACCCCTTTTCCTTTGACTTAAATACTTTGTGGTCTTAGGGTATGTAGTGTAATTACTCTTAATTTATAGAAATTTTTGTTTCAATTGCGAAATTTTTTTTTAAAAAATACAAGCTAAAACAATGTGATCTAAAATAAAATTAATGTTTTAAATGTTATAAATTTTATAGTTTTAGCCTTAAACACTTAATATTTCGAATAGAAAATAATTTATTTTGACAATGAATAACAACGATTATAGAATTCACATATACAAACGATATAAATAAATTAAAATTCACAAATGGTGACATCCATTGTTGTATTTTAAAAACCTATACGACTATTAAAACAAAAATTATGCATATTCAAAATTGAAAACTTACTAAACCTTTTGGCTATTTTTTATGAAAAAAACACTAAAACTATTATATATATATACCAAATATATATATATATATATATATATATATGTACAAATTTAGATGATTATTAATTTATGATATTATTGGGACTATGTTTTTACATAGGAATTTCAAAAAATTTATTATCTTATTATCTTATCAAATTTGGTTAATTTTTACACTGACCCGACTCGGGACCGGTCAAATTTATTAATTTATCGTGGTTATTAATTTATCGAGTATTAATTTATAGAGGTTTGACTGTATGTTAAATTTAGCAGGTAAAAGTGTTGGCTATATCTACAAAATTAGACTATTAGTATCCTAAAATCAAAATAACTTTTAAACATATTTATATATTATAGAGTAATTTTGGTATATATCAATTACAAATATCGAAGATTTTTTTGACACCTGTAAATTTCCAGGTTCAATTGAACTATGATAATTTTGAACTTTTGGGGGAAAACGAGTAATTGATAAAAGAACAGACATAGAAATGTCAATATGTCTTTTGATTTTTTGGCATATTTGAAAAGACTATTCACAAATATATTTTTTAAAAATCTTAGTTAACGACTTATATTGGAGCTGGATGGAAACTTTGACGGAGTTAATATCCACATATTTTATTTATTTATTTAGTGTATGTTACTATACATTATCTATTTTTGGTTTGGTTAAAGATATATTTTAATTTGGATGTATAGTCATATAATGAGTTATACCTCATGTATTTGACAATGTAGCGTGAACCAAGGAGCTTTTTCGAACTATGGAGGAGGGAAACGAGGGAGAGCCGCAAGACATACAACCACCTTTGTCGTCGTGTAATCATTGGAGAAAGAGCAAGTTGTTGTCGCAAGCCCACATTAGTAGAGGAGCTTCGATCGAAGCCACCTAAAATAGAGGAGAAGAAGGTTGTGGATAAAAAGAGACTGAGGAGAAAGAATCTCGGCCTATGTAAGAGAAAATAGAGAAGAGAGAAAGCAAACCAAGAAGAAGAAAGAGGGTTTGTGATGACAAAACTGTGATGTCAAAACCAGCCCTAGAAATCAAATAGATAGGCATGTGAGACGGAGTTCAGCATGGCCACCCTAATATTTCTAACAAGTCATCTGAAAAGTTTCCTAACCTTAAGAACAATCTAACATAATCGGACAACTAAGAAGATTGGGAACACTGTAACACCCTGGTTTCATGATATATAATGGTGCACGTAGAGAGGTTTAAAAGAATAGATTTGGCCACCTATGTCACCAAAGTGAACTTATCTGTTCGATCAAACGTCATAAAAAACTCCAAAATTGAGCGCGTCTAAGCTCGATCAATTTCAGGATGGGTGACTTTCTGGGAAGTGATTGCCGATACCGTGCGA